TATGCATCTTCCCAAGCCTGTGCCAAAACCTGAATAAGTGTCTAATGTTCCTCATGGCTTACATCTCATTTACAAACCATATTTTATAAATATTAGTAGATATGTTTTATCTTTTGACAAATATCCAACCAATTACCAAAGTGTAAGACATAAGTGATGACATTTGGTACTACAATAAGAGAAATCATTTGCAAATTTTGTATGTAGTATTGACTCTTAATTTCTAAGCAGAAATGAGCAAATAAAAACATGCAAACCCCAGACACTAGAACTTGATTAACTATGAAAAATAGTCAATTTCTGACTGTTAGGAATAAAATTTCAAGTCATTCCTTGATATGTGCAAACTGTTTTAAGATAAGACCTAACTTTTGAAAACGTATGAAAATTAAGAGTCAGAAATCTACTCATATATCCCATTTTGGAGTTAACTCCTAGCTGCTCACCAAAGCACTCTGACTTTTGAGAGATGCAGCAGTTGTTTCCTATTTTTCTGTTGGACATATAAAAGCAAATATCCCTCACAATGAAATTATATTTCTCCCTGTTGATTACAAAGGGAGTTTAGAGTGAGTAGCTAAAGCTTTACTATCTAACTTCTGAGCTTCTACATTTCTGTGAAAGTAATTCCATCCAAGACTTTTTTTTTTTTTTAATTTGATTATGTTATGTCTTCCTTGCAGTATGTCTACATGCTATCTTTAAATGACCCATTTTGTTGTGGCATTAAGTCTGATGTAAGCTAATTCCCTCTACCAGGAATTGTCATGCTAGTTCTGTCACTTGCACACAGGACTCTGACTTCCTGCATGGTGATGCCTGTATGTGTTCCATGCATATATATGTGTGTGTGTGTGTATATGTTTAAATATATATATTCTGGTATCACATATGCTTCTACAGATACTCAAGGGCTAAATTCAAGTAACAAGTAATCTTGCAATAAGCTGAAGTGTTCAATTTGCATAGCAGACAATAAGCCCTAGCTGTAGCAATCCTTATATTCTCCAAGATTTCACCTATAAAAATCCTTTTTATGCTATCAATATCAAGGTGGGACACAGATTTTGTCTAATAGTCTCACCAGGTATCATTGCATTGTGGTAATTAATGCATCTTCTTTCTTGAGAAAATTCTTCTACGTCAAAGATCATTTGGATGAATTTTCTACATTTCAATTGAGTACTTTCAATGATCTATTTAGTTCCTGTGTTTTACCACATCAGAGTTCACTTTCTAGAAGAAGGTTCTCTATTTAAGGAGAAACAATCGGCATAAAGGTTATTAGACTACTTCCAGAAAAAATAAAACTATTATCGATAACATTCAATAGGTTTCATGAAAAATATATTCTGTGAAACAAACCCAATATCATTCTAAATCTGGTCAAAAATTAAATTGTCAAAAATATCTCGTCAAAAATTAAACTGTGTTAATTTTGAATGCATTTAGACTTATTTCAGATATACACCTGTCTTCAATTAGTGTCTTCGAGGCACACTGAGATCCTCAGATGAGAAAGATTATTTCATAAGCACAAAAATACTTTGACACTATATCAGAATTTGCAGAATTCCCAAAAGAAAACTATAATTCTCTGGCAGCCAAAAATATGTTGTTGGATTTATTACACTGTCTGCAATGAAAGTCTTGGCAGTGTGGCTTTAGGGAGGGGTTCAAGAATGGCCTTCATTTGCCCTGATGCTGAACCCAACCACTGGAAGTCTACAGGGCTACGCATATTCATGCTGAATGCCAGGATCCACACTCTGCAAGGGTAACCCCCTGGACAAGGTGGACTTAGAATCAAAAAATAACTTCAGGATGAACAATGAAAGGATTAGTACCAGTCATTAATGCTAAAAAAAGTAATGCTATGAATGCACATAAAACCAAAGCTATTTGTTTACCCATTAAATATTCCTCCCCTAAAAACATAGCATCTTATGTATTCCTGTTTTCCAAAGGTATCTAGAAATAAATCCAAATACAGACAGATTCTGAAGGATGGAAATGGAAATTCTTCTTGTTTGGCTTCCCTGGAAGATTCAGTGTGTCAGGGTTATTAATTATGGAGTGCTCAGCACCTTTCCAATGGATATTGGAAAGGCAGGGCTTCGTTTAGTTCCAGGTTTACAAGTAAATGTAAACGAAGTGCTCTGTTCTTTCTTCTAAAGAGTATACAGAGTAACAATAATACAGAACAGTATGTTTTCTGTAAGCAATAATAGATTTTTATAAGTTAATGGAAGTTCACTTTTCTGGATCTTACTGGTTAAAATGGTGGCTCTGGAGGATTTAATGAAACGTTGTGTGTAAATATTCAGAAAAGTTTTATAAACAGGAAACTTTTCACTTAGCCAAAGCAGAGATTTTTTTATATTATTATTTGAATAATGAATATACAATATGATCTACTTTCAAAATCTCTTTGAAAATGGTCAGGCTAACATCTCATAGTAATCATTTGAATGTATGACCAAAAAAGCACTTAGTTATTCAAGTATTACTTTCCCAGTGCTAAGCAATTCCAAAGTTACATTTTTCTTATCAATCTGCTCTACAGTTCATATCTTAAAACATTCAGCTTACTAAAGCTTTCCTTTACAGAGACAGACATCAAGATTCATAGCAGCATATAATTGTGTAATGCAAAGGTGAATGTTTGTTTGGTCTACAGCTTAAATTAACAACTCCACCTCAGATTTTAGTTATGATATAATGGCTGTCAGGGTGCAGCAGGGGCTAGAAGTCTCTACAGGCTGGATGTCGAGAGAAATGGGGGCTCTTCGTGGGGGACCCCAGTACACAACACATGTCATTGACAGAGAGCAGGGAAGACTTGGGGTGACAGCTGGAGCATCTCCTAGCCCACCGCACTGGGACAGAGATAAAGCCAGGCCAGGCAAAACATCAGGTCCTTCCCAGCTCAGTGGTATCCATAGTGGGGAGGTCAAGGGCTTTCGCAGCCCAGCATCATACAACATCACTGGGGCAGGGACTGATGGCCCTTGGTTGAGCTGAAATGGGGTTCTGGGCCCGTGGACAGGACATGGGAGGGAATCCTAGGTGAGGTTACTCAGAGCCATTAACACCTACCAGTGCCCACAGGGCACTGACAATGTAGATCAATAGAGAGAAAGAGCGAGAGAGCGAGAAAGAAAGCGAGAGAGTGAGAGAGCAAGAAAGAAAGAGAGAGAGAAAGGAAGAAAGGAAGAAAGGAAGAAAGGAAGAAAGGAAGAAAGAAAGAAAGAAAGAAAGAAAGAAAGAAAGAAAGAAAGAAAGAAAGAAAGAAAGAAAGAAAGAAAGAAAGAAAGAAAGAAAGAAAGAAAGAAAGAAAGAAAGAAAGAAAGAAAGAAAGAAAGAAAGAAAGAAAGAAAGAAAGAAAGAAAGAAAGAAAGAAAGAAAGAAAGAAAGAAAGAAAGAAAGAAAGAGAAAGAGGGAGAGTAATGCAGTAGAAGAATGAAAAAAGCATAATGCTGCTAGCAAGAGAAAGGCTCCAAGTACTGGAAGAAAGTTTTCTTTTTTCTTAAGATCCTTTGTATTCTTTTTTCCAAGCCAGAGGTATAATTTGAAGTTCTAAGCACAAGACTGTGAGACAAAACTTTGAGCTGAGCACCAGTATCATTACTTGCACAAATCTCTTCAAATAAAGCTTTCTATCCTCTGTGTGCTCAAAAATTTGTATAGTTTATTAATGAACTTATTTACATTGAAGAGATTAATTGCTTCTGCTCCAGGATTTGTAAGTAATATATCAGTCATTTGAAATGAGACTCAGCACCCATTAACTATGTCCAGTGACCTGAAAATATATTTTCCCCACAGCTCTTGATAAAGTCTTCAGGCATCAACACTACACTTCTTATGACAAATGATGTTTCTCTGTAACATCCATCACTCTAAAACACTTTATAATGCCCTATATCATCCCTGAAGAATGAGGATAGTATAGAAAACCAATACAAAAGTATACAAATTCTCAAACTACATAACATCTTCAATGACTGTGCCCAGTACACCAACCATACAAATTACTGTCAAGGATGATATGCAATATCAAATCAAACTATTTTGATTTATATACTCATACCAGGCAAATAATTTCCGAAGATCAAGATTTTTGCTTGTTTTGAGGAAATTCATTTGAGTGAAGACCTTATTTTAAAGTCTTACTCATTCCCCTGAAGAAGAAAAGCTGCAGTCATGCTTCATTCAAATGAATGAAGTATGTCATGCACAGTCATGCATAGGTAATTAACTCTTAAAAGCTTCTAGAGAAAAATAAATAAATAAATAAATAAATAAATAAATAAAATGAAAAAGAAATTACAATGAATTTTCCTCTCCTGTGCAGGTCAAGTGTCAGAAAATGAATTGAAACATTTCTTAGCATCTCTTCTGCACATAGTTTAGTACTTTCATAACAATGCTAGCTGGCCGAGTCATAACTGGAAGGAAGAACCTGGTAAAGGGGATTATTTTGGTTAAGAAACTTGCACATCCCATCAGTGTAAGATACATGGTCTGACTCACGTACCTTTGTGAAGCGACAGCAGTATTTACACAAGGTCAATGAGGACACCTAGCAGTTTCTTTTTATTTTCAAGCTTTTTTTGTTTTCTTTCCCCACCCCACTCCACCCACCCCTCCCACCCACCCCCAAGGACCAGTGACATCTTCTAGACATTTCCGTGTCTAGTAGAATTTAGTAGAATTCCAGCTACCTTCTGCTGAAGTGCTCAAAATCTGAGCGAGCTGAAATGTCTCTGCACCTGCCTGTCATCTCTAGTGTGGTGAGACTGATGGCCTAAACATGTTCTGATTCATCAGGTAACCCTGACAACATATGTAACATGGACAAAGGATGGCAAGCCTCTGGAGGGTAAAGTATTTCTTTGAGATGTGCTTAAAAAGTATCAGATCAAACAGAGCATCAACTGCTCTGCTACTAGTGCTAAGTCAAAGACTAACATGATGCTTAATTATTTATTTATCAGGTGAGAAACAACTCCTGAGTAACTACAATATCATCTTAAGGACATTAAAGAGCTCCCAGGAAGAAGAAGCAGATTCCTGATTCCCTGAAGACAAATGAACATATGGACGCTGGAGCGTATTTTTAAGTGAAGGTAAGATGCAGGAAAGTCAGATTATAGCTTAGAAGGCTGTGGGGAGGAGGAGCATCTTCACACAACTGCAAGCAGACCCACACTGCTCAAAGGTGATGGAAAGATTTTCCAAGAAACACAAAATAGTTTGGAATATATAGTATTCACCTCATATTTATCTAACTTTTGGATACCATGTATTCTCCCAGAGTATCCATCAAGTCCTCTAAACAGAGTGGGAGGGTAAGTAATGCCCATGACTAGAAACCCCAAGAATCATCTGGTACATAACTGAATGAATCCTTACCATAGCAAAAAGAGTGGAAACATTCCAGGTCTTATTCTGCTTCAGGTTATTTTTAAGAAATATTAATATTAAAAAGACAGAAGCTGTACAGTCTCCTTAAATTTACATCAGAAGAAAAGGGATCCAAAAACTCTAAATATCTTCAGCTGCAAGGTAGGTTATTCTGCACCTGTCATAGTTAAAGTGACAGAGTGCCCAATACTCCCCAAGTTTAAAAAAAAAAAAAAAAACAAAACTTTCTTAATACATAAACTTGCAAGAGACAAACTTCAGCACTGGGATTAATGAAATCTTTGCTTGCAAAAAGTAGTTGTATGAGCAAAGTACTCTTAAAAAAAAAAAGTCATCTGTGCAAATGTAAGAGTTGGCTGAAGAGCAGTTCTTGAGTTGGTAGAAGAAGAAGATGAAGAGCTGGTAGAAGAGTAGTTCTTCAGAAATAAAGTTTAGGAGTTATTACAGACTACAAATCATACTGGAGCCAATAACATGCAATTGCAAAAATAAACTAAAAATCATGTTAGAACACATAAAGAGACATAATTATATATTTAACTTATGCCCTACCACACTGTGAAAAGGAATCAGCTGGTATACTATGTCCCATTTTAGACACATTAGCTCACAAAAGACATAGATTGGCAAGACTGCATGGTTAGGTGCATGCTGATGTCCCACTACTTCTAATTCCTGAAATAGCTCTTTGGCCTTTGTTTGACTGTACAGAGCTACACAGATAAGTTCCTAGGGATTTAATGCCCTGAAGTAAAGAAGACATATTTAATATATTACATGTTCTAATTGTCTTCTCACCACAGTTATCTATAATGGACTTAAGGGAACAGAAACTCAACATAATATTTTCCTTAATAGCTTTCAGCAGTTCTTGAGTTGCAAGTTATCTGTCCGCACAGCTCATCAAAATATTTGTCCTGCAGATACGAACATACCCTTGACAGCACATTGCCATTTGCTCTTCTCATAGAATTGGTGATTTTTCCTCTGTACCTTGCAATACTAACAGTTCATGAACAGCATCCAGAGCTACACTAAGCTTGCCAAAAAATTATTCATGAAAAGATCATCATAACAACATATCCAATTCAAGTATTTCTAAACCTCTTGCTTAGCTAGGTCTCAAGGTCAAGAAACAAACATTCAAGTTCACAAAAAGTCTGGGCAGAAGAGCACTGAGGGACTGAAGGTCAGCGAGTGCTTATCTCTTGTGAGGCATAAGCCAAAGAGCCACAAGTCTCTCTATTCAGATTCAATTCCTTCTTTCTTGGATTCTTATAATCAAGCTCAAGCCTATCTTTTTTACATCCCCAGATACAGTATTCTTGCCCATTGGCAAATTTCAGACATTATCTCAGCTTTTCAGATGACATTTCCACAGATTATTATGCTGCAAAGCCTTCAACTTCTAGTGTTCATGGTCTCTCATGTGGATATCATCCAACAGTTAATCCCTTCTTACAGCCTCTGAGGAATTGGAAGTATCAATAGAATAGCCTGGAGCAGGTTCTGGAAAATTTCTCAAGTCCCTGAAAATATGGCTCACAAAAAAAATAAAAAATAAAAATAAAAAAACTTCCCCCACCCCATCAGCAGTTCTTCCTGACATAATAACGATATTTACTTCTGCAAAGGGAAATAAAAAAAAATAAAATACAATACAAAATTAAACTTATGTACTACAGTCTGATGAATACCCAAAAATAAATGATAATAATAATAATAAAAAGACTAATGATTGAAAACCTAGGTAAATAAATGTTTTATTTACAATAGGGTCAATAGGGTTAGATCTTTAGCTATTAATCCATATTAATCCAGTCACATAAACATTGACTTCCAACTGCCTCCTGCAGACTAAGACTTCTTCAAGTATATCCAGGCTTCTTTAATTTCCTTTTAAATACTGCTTTCTTTGTGATTTTTTTGCAAATGTTTGATAAATTGCTGGGACTAGAGCTTACAGGAATGTAGAAGAAGCAAAGCATATTGACACCACGTATAATTAAACATCTCAATTCTCCCAACCTGACGTCTTTAAAAGGTTTCATGTTACAGTTTATGTCTTCAAAATGGTGTTGACCAAGTAACTCATACATATATACCTGCTATATTTCTCCTGCATGAAGCCAAGTGATGCCCAAGACTCCTTCTGGTAATTTCTCAAGCCCTCTGGCTGACTGCCCCTGTTCTGCTGTGGATTTCAGTCTTTTAGAGACCTTATCAAGTACTGATGACATTATCTCATGATGCATTACATTCTCCATGCCCAGGCAGGTTTCTTTAGTGGCTTTTTTTGAGTAACTTCTTTTCTAAACTCATTGCACAGAAGTTTTCACAGCATGTATGACAACTGCTCAGATATAATCATTGGTGCTTTTTTAAAGTCTTTTTTTCTAATGATATAATACTCAAATTATACAATTATTCCAGATAAATTTTCTGAACATATTAGTTATCTACTAGCAACAGCTCTGGCCTGCTAGTTTTAGATGAGAATTTTTCCTAATTTACCTTTGAAAATTATACTTTCACTCTAAACATTCTACAGGATAGTAGTTTTATAGGATTATATCATAGTAATGATTTCTTTTTTTCTTTATATTATCTGGGGTTTGAGCCTTTGAGAGAGAGCATCATCTTCTTCACTCACAGGTCTGAGCTAAATCCAGGAAATTATTGGTCATCCCTATAAACCACCAGATTCTATTTGTATTTATTTGTCCACTGATTTTCTTAGTAGCTTATAGGTTGGTTCCCTTAGAATTCAATGTATGTTAGCTGTAAGGGATTTCAGCCACCTCTTTGTAAGCTTTCAAATGTTATGCTTTTGCTGACTTAAATGTTGATGACTTAGTGTGGTGTGGCATTGTGCTACAGTCTACATTACTTCTCAGCTGCAGCTGCACATTTCAGCATTCTGCCATAAGACATAACATTGAAAAGTGAATATTTTCATCCTAGGTACATTGAAGAATATGTCTTTAGTCACTGGAAGAGACTAGTAATTCTCCATTAAGTGATCTTTTGGCATCACAAACTCTCAAATTGCTTGAAAGTTTTCTCATGAGTTCTAGACAGCTGCATTGAAAATTTCCAGGGTTGAAATTATGCCTTTTTTTTGCAGCCATCTAAGTCCATCTTTATTTGCTACAGAAACATTAAAGACATTCTGTGTTCTTGTAGTTTTACAGACTGTGTGAGAATCTATTTCTAGCTTCATCTTACTTCTAGCTGTACCATTTCCTTGGTTTCCTTCTCTGTTGGTTCATGGGCTTTTTACCAAGAGTTTCTATTTGTCCACTGGCTCCTGAATGAGTTTATTGTAGATGAACTACACTTGGCCTCACTTCTCCAGTCTAATGGTGCTGTTTACTGGTGTTCTTGGCATTAGATTGCACCTGGCTCCATAAACCAGTGGCAATTGAATTTAGACATTGGTCTAACAGCATAGTTGCAAACACAGAAATGGAATCATTGGCATTCTTCTGGAAAACTTCATCCACAGTGTCTCTCAGTGTTCTAAAGTTACGTTGCAGTTATCCTTCTTTTTACTAGAAATTTTTATGGCCTTGGTGATTATTACTTTTTTTTTTCTTCTTGAGATAACATGACTTTAAAGGATAAAGTGATTATTTTTCCCACACATTGTTCTTTACTGCCTAAAAATTGAACATTTTTCTCTTTTCCTTTCTCCACATTGTTTTACATATAATATGCGCTATGTAAAATATCTCTGTATTTCAGGTCTTTTGTTTCCCTTCTTGATTCTCTTGGTTTCAACCCTTGTATCCTGAATTTATTAACCATGTAATCGTGCAGGTATTAATCACGAATTTTGTATTAATTCATTAGCTTGACCCTTTACTGGTCCTTTGGTATTGGCTATTGTGTAATCTGGAATGACATATTTTATGTACAATCCTATCTCTGGTGAAGTATGCTTAATATTTTAAAAGTTACAGGTGGATATTGGATTTCTCAGCAATTACAAATCCTTTTTTAGCTTCTTGGTTATGCCCTTTAAATATGTATGACTGCAGATCCAGCTCCAATAAGGATAAAGGACCTTACTGGCACTTGGGAACTTTACTTGCCACAATAGTAGTTGCATAATGCTGTACCAACAGGTCATTAGACCACTGGGAACATAGGTTCCCCTATGCTGCAGAGGCAGCTTCCATCCACACCTGGCATCACACTTGGAAGTTCACTGTGATTCGGACGTGGAGTAGGTATGGAGAATTCCTTAGAATACAATACAGATTTATCTATCCTGTCTGAAATTGAAGATCCATTTAAATATCTTTCCTAGCACTTTATATATTGTTCTAGATATGCCTGACTTAGCTTTTTCATATTTTTCTTCATTTTCTTGCTTTTATCCCTCATTTTGTTTGTACAGGCACCAGACCTGCTTCCCCATTGCTTTCATGCTTTTGGAAGTAAGATTTTATCTGGAACTCCATCATTTCCTGTGATCTGAGACTTTCTATGATACCTCGTAGCTTTGTTTGCAGTGCCAATTTTTTGTTTGTTTGTTTACCACATTTTTGTACTTGATGATGCCTTTGCTAGACTGAGCACATTCACAGTGCTTCATTTACTGCTTGCAAGCTAATGACATAAAAATATATCCTTGTATAACTAAAAATAAGCTTTCTCTTCTCCAGGCTAACAACTTCAATTTTCTCAGTGCATC